AGATCCGAGCGAGTTGAGCATGGTCTACGTGCTGAATACAGCGAAAATCAGGTATCCGAATGATCAGCAAATTCAGAACACACCAGCCGGCGAGCGCGTACCTGGAAATCGCAGGCCTAGTCAGGAGAGAGGAACGGGCCTTCCCAATCGGGGGATCAACGCTCCGAATGGCGCTCCAGAAGGTCTTAACAGAAAATTCAGCGGCTCGCGAGAAAGTATGGCTGGCGGATCCCGTGGACCAGCAATAGGACCGGGACCCGGACCCGGACCAGGGGGGCGGGGCCAAGATATGAGCATGGCAAATGGTCCCTCTCCGCCTGGTGGGGGATCTCGACTTCCTCGCGCTTCAATAGCACAAGCGCCTTCGGGGCCGCCTCCGCAGCAGCAACCTCCACCACCACGAGCAAATGGAATCATGTCGCCCAACAATGGAGCTAGAAGCAGAACCCCTACCAGAGAAAACCGTGGCTTCGGTCCACCTGTCGATACTGGCCGAGGACCGTCCTTCGAGAAAGAGAATGTGACTCCACCGATAGTATCACCGGTAGGACGAGAGGGGCCGAGACAAGGCCCAACCGCTCGTTCTATGAGTCCTGTGATCAACGGACGCCGCACGCCGACACAACAGTCCGGACAGCAATCAATGCAGCAGCCTCCACGATTTGCAGACCAGGCAGCCGACTATGATGAGCCCCAGAAGTATGATCCGTCATTTGGGATATTAGGATCGCGCCAAGCTGTTCAAGAACCTTCTCTAGATGAAAGCGATCGATTCCCGTCTGCTGGCCCACACCAGCAGCGATCCTTCAACGATCCATACGATGAGCCTAACGACGTTTCTATGAGGAACAACAGAGTTCAACGAGATGATTCGATTCCACGTCAGCAGTTGGAGCAGCTCGAGAACCAGCATCAAGGTCTACAGAGCCAGTTCGAGGGTCTTGAGAATCAGCATCAAGGTCTCCGAAGCGAGTATCAGGGTCTCCGAAGCGAGCATCAGGATCTTCAAAACGAGCATCAGGATCTTCAAAGCGAGCATCAAGGCCTTCAAAGCGAACATCAAGGCCTTCAAAGCGAACATCAAGGCCTTCAAAGCAAACATCAAGGCCTCCAAAGCGAACATCAAGGCCTCCAAAGCGAACATCAAGGCCTCCAAAGCGAACATCAAGGCCTCCAAAGCGAGCATCAAGGTCTGCAAACTCAACAACAAGATCTGATGCAAGCATTGGAAGCAGCAAAGAGCCGCAACGCCTGGTATGCGTCCGAAATGGCTCTAGCGCGCCAGGCCGGATACCAGCCGAATAACTCCGGGAGCCCACTTGACGAAAAGGCTGCTCAATCATTTGGCGACGATGATAAACCACTCTTGGAGGCGTTGATAGCTGTGCGCGCGCAGCTCGCTGAAGTGCAAAGCAATTTAGAGTCCCGTGAGGATGCCGCAGCGCAAGAGGTTGCGGCAGCAGAGCAGCAACGAGACACTGCAATTCGCGAAGCCGCCTACGCCAAAGCCAGGCTTGCAGCCCATGGTGGTAGTCATGTTGGTACGCCGCAATCCGACGCAGCGTCTCGAGACCTAGGCCCCGATGATCGATCGAGTGACATTGCTCGAAAGTTGGCTGTGGCATTGGCAGCTCAGAACGAGCTACGTGTCACAGTTGCTGCTATGACCAATGCAATTCATAGTGAGAGACAGGCAAGAGAAGCAGCCGAAGGTACTGCTGATGCTGCGCAGAAACGCGCAGCAGAATTCGACCGAGCTCGCAACCCTGGAGAGCTTGAGAGCTTGAGAAGCGAGCTTCATCAGGTCGGAAAGACTGCTCGAGAGGAATCAGCGGCGAAGTTCGAGGCACACTCTAGAGTGCAGCTGCTTGCGGTCGATAAGGAGGACCTGGAGCGAAAGCTAGGTGAAGCCTTGGAAAACACCAAGCAGCACAGCATTACTGTTGTATCGCTTCGAGAAGCCGTCACAGCTTCAACGGACAAGGCTTCCCTGCTTGAGAAGAAGCTTAACGACGAACGGAGACAAAGAGAGCTTGTGGATCAAAAGCTGCTACAGCTACGCGCGGAGCACGAAGAGCGGACCGCGGAACTCGACGATACCACACGCAAGCTTCGTGACGCTGAAGAAATGGCCAGTGCTAATGCTGCTGAGGCAAAGACTCATCGCCAAGCTATGGTCGCCGGTCTTGACAAATTGAATAGCCGGAGTGTGGCGGGTCAAAACATGCCAATTGAGGATGAGCGCGTACCGATACTGAAGGAACAGGTTGAGAATGCTCATGCTCTGGTTAGGAAGAACCAAACAGCGGCCGACGACGCAGCAGAAAAGCTCCGACGAGCAGAGGAGAGAATCGCAGGTTTGGAAGCCTATCAAGAGCAATCCAGCCGCGACAGTCTTGCTGTCCGCAAGCAGCTGCAAGATACTGTTCGAGAATTAATAGCATCGCAATCTCAGTATGGCGCCGTGCAGCGGCAATTGGAGTCCCACCAGCGAGATGCAAGTGCGTTGTCCGTACAGCACAGCGCCCTCAAGGAGCTATTGGATGAAAGAGGCATCTCCTCAGAAAATGGCAGATCTAGATCAAGGAATCTGGATAGTCCAGCATACCGTCTCGATACGCCAGACAACACCCGCCTTAGAGAGCTTGAGCAGGAATTGGAGGTTAGCAGACAAGCCCATCAAGAGACCAAGTCATTAGTAGAATCGAGAGAGCTACAAGCCGATAAGACGTACCGTGAGAAGCTAGAGCTTCTTGAGAACGACTACCAGTCTGCAGTGCATTACGTCAAGGGCACCGAGAAGATGCTTAAGCGTATGAAGGATGAGCTCACCAAATACAAGAAGCAAAACGAGCGTCTGCAGAGCGAACTCGATGTGGCTCAACGTTCCCAATCAGAGCGATCAATGGGCCCAGAGGCAGCTGCCGAATGGGAGCAAGAACGCCACTCCCTCCAGAAAGAGATCGAAGAGATACAGAGAAGTGTCAAGGATTCCCACTCTCAGCTCGAGGCCCAGATGGCGCAAGTCCGGTCCGAGCTCTACGCTGCTCAGCAGGAACGTGACCATTACCGCCAGAACAACGAACAAGCCCAAGAACAACTTGCACACACTACACAACAAGCGCGCTCCGAGCTCGACCAACTCAAGAACGAGAACTCCATGCTCGAAACACGCGCCCTAGACGCCGAACAGAAAGTCACCCTCCTCCTCGACCAGGTCGGCACCTCCGTTGGTAACTACAGACGCCAGTCCCAACAACTCAACGGCCATGGCCACGCCCGCGGCCTCAGCAACGTCAGCACCACCTCCACCAATCCTCCCACCAACTTCAGAGGCGGCCACTCCTACACGAACAGCGCCGACCCCAGCATCATTTCTGCCAGCGGCAATACCGAAAACAACCGCAACTCCCTCGCCCTCGACAGCCTAGCCTCTGAACTCGAAACCCTCCGCTCCCACTGGGCAGATACGCATCGCACCTACCGTCTCAGCAACCAATTCGACTTTGAGCGCTCGACGCCTAACAGTGCGGTAGGCCAGGGAAACATGAGCGATAGTCTGGCGAATTGGCGCAAGAGGCTCGATGCCGAAGAGGCGCAGAAAGGGCGTGGTTTGAGGGATAGCTCGGAGTCTGAGCCGGATCATCTCAGAGAGAGCGGTGTTATTCGACCGCATGAGAAGATGCCCGGGGGCTTGGCGGGCATCAGCAGTAGTGAGGATGAAGAGGAAGAAGAACGACGAGAGGGCCGTAGCAAAAGCTACGTTATCTGATGAGGAAGGGAGCGAACGGGTAGTGATGATACAGTACACGAGGGGACTGACCTGTTTCTTTTATATAGTGGTCCTCGGCGTTGGATGATGATTGTAATCCTTTTGTGGCGAGACACGTTTCATAGTGTCCGTTCCCGGTCGAGACGTTGGCTACACGCCGTGGACCGTTTCGATTCACACGCTCTGAGCTTTGCAGATAGGAGCCGTTTTGCTACACAGGAGCCGTTTTGCTACATAGTTGGTCGAGCCGGTTGGCTTTTCTTGCTTGCTCGCCCTGTAAAATTAACCCCGGCGATTCACACGATAGAATAGAAGTACACACACACACACACACCTTTTTTGGCGGGGGGGGGCGTCTTTCCAGCTCCATCTCCATCATCGTCGGTTGTTTGCAGTTGACCCCGTTTGATGCTAACTACTGCTACTACTACCAGCTTCTACAATTCCCACTTTTGGCTTTTGAAACCACAACGCATGTTCCACCCATTGAGCTCCGTGGATGGGCCTCCCTCCTTCTCCTTCCCTTGCCTTCCCATCTTTGGCACAGATGCTGTCGTACCATCTTATCTCGGCTTTTGGGCCTGTGTATCTATTTATCTATCCAACCGTCCATTTAACCATCCATCTATCCATCCATCCGTCCATCCGTCCATCTGTCCATCCATTCATCCATCCATCTAAGCGTCACCAAGCATCATCATCATCATCATCAATCATCACCAAGCGTTATCATGATCAATCATCATGATCAATCACCATCAATCACCATCATCATCATCATCAATCATCATCATCATCAATCATCATCATCAATCATCAATCATCATCATCAATGTGATTGCCAGATTATCGCCCTGACTTTACCCAGACCGCCTCCGTCGCGAGGGAGCCAGCCACATGCCGGGACGAAGCGGTACGGTATTCATACGGTATCTATCGCTGCTCCCTTCCTTCCTTCCTTCCTTCCTTCCTTCCTTCCTTCTTCCTTCTCGCACAGATTCCCAAAGTCTGTATACAATTATTCCTCCCCACTCGATCAGATCGATATAGATTATTTTCTTCTTTCCGAGTGGGGAGGGGGGTGATCGACCCGCCCCGTCGAGCGGGACGAGAGGTTTTCTTTTCTTTCCGTCTGCTTGCTTCTACTTCCCTTTCTCAGATTACCTAAAGTATACTAGTCACGCGTGCACGCCATCCCCTGCCCAGAAAAAAAAAAGGCAAAAACACCATGGCACGACCACCGCCCCTGCTGCTCCTCCTCGACTGGGACGGCACCCTCACCACCGCCTCCACCCTCCCCCTCCTCGCCTCCGTCGCCACCCCGCGCGCCCCTCACCCCGCCCTGCCCGCGCTGTCCCGCGCCTACGCCCGGCACCTGGCCGCGCACGACGGCGCCTACCGCCCCGCGCGGCCGGAGCGGACGACCGTCGCGCAGGAGCTGGCCTACCTGGACGCGCTGCGGCCCGTCGAGGGGGCCAGCGTCGGCCGGGTCGAGGCCGCGGGCCTCTTCGGCGGGGTCCGGACGGGGGACGTGGACGCGGCGGCGGCGGACGCGGTCGCGGGGCGCGCGGTGGGGGTGCGGGCGGGGGCGGCGGGGTTGCTCGGGCGGGTGCAGCGGGGTGGGGGGAGGGTGGTCGTCGTGTCGGTCGCGTGGTCCCGGCGTTTCATCCACTGTGTGCTTTCCGGATGCGTGCGCCGCGAGGCGGGGGGGGAGGTGGTGGTGATGGGGGATGTGGAGGTCAGGGCCAATGAGATCTTGGCCGACGGGTCGGGACGCTTGGATCGGGTCTTTGGCGGTGCCGACGGGGGGATCTGGACGGCGGGGGACAAGGGGCGGGTGATGGAGGGCGAGATCGCGGCCGCGGTTGGTGGGGACTCGTCCGTGCCGAGGACGGTCTACGTTGGGGATTCGCCGACCGATCTCGCCTGTTTGCTCAAGGCGGACGTGGGCATCTGCATCCGTGACGAGGTCATGGGCGAGGAGCAGAGGGGGTTGCGGGAGACGTTGGAGAGGGTCGGGGTGGAGTGTTTGCACGTCGGCGCGTTCGTGGATGACCGAGCGGAGGACGGCGGTGGGAGGCTGTGGTGGGCTAGGGATTTCGAGGAGGTGTGTCGGAGTGGAGTGATGGGCACGCTGACGGAAGAAAATGGCGGTCTTGTGCGCTGATGCTCTCAAAGCTTGAGGTCGATTCGGGTAGGAAGAGACCAGCCCAGGAAAGCGTGCTGTGGTAGAGTACGTAATCCACACATGGTGGAGAGCCGTGGCGAAAGGATCGGAGACGAGAGATTGCCGGATGATTTTCTGGAAAAATATGGTGGAATGGAAGGCGTGTAGGCCAGGTCCACCAACGCTGTTGGTGGTCAAGGATTGTTGTAGAAGCGTTGTCTATGGGTTTTCAAGATGGTGAATAAAGCTGAAGCCGTGGACGAGACCATGGGTCGGAACTATGGACTGGGACTACGAGCTGAAGCAGAAGAGGACACCAGAAGAGTATGGTTGATATCTACTGTTCACGCATATTGGGGACTCATATAATGGCTCGTGATGTTTCTCGATTGAATAGAGTACCTAGATAAGCTCCGGGACAATCGATCAACCCGCCTGTGAGTTGAGAGGCTCATCCTCATAAGTGGGAAAGAAATTAGCAAAGCAAGCATAGCAGCAGCATTACAACCCCGGAAGCGGCTCTTTACCCATAACCCTAATTAAGCCATTCTGAAACCCTCCCGGGCGAGCCCAAGGCAAATGTCGCTACCAGCCAGTGAATGCACCAGTAGAGCCGTGAGATTTTCACCATATGAAAACATGCTTCCCCCAGTCGCTGCATCTCACTACTCCCCCCTGCTATGCCGGCCGCTGAAACTCAATGATCCGTGTATGTTGACTCATATGAAAAGGTGCTGGTGCTGGTGCTGGTGATGGGGCTGGGGCTGGGTGCGTGTGGTGGTGTAAAAGGATCATTAGTGTAAGATTAGGAAATTAAGCCACAGGTCGGTATTGCTGAGATCGACATTCCCTAGGGGAACTTCGAGGCAATTGCGTCCAGTACCGGTAAGCTCTGTCTATGCTTAAGCTTTGCCTGTAATTGATGCTGCAAGAGCCATCGCTAGCCAGCGGCGTGCCGTTCGTGCCCATCCATCCGGGAATTCGATGATCAAGCGTTCGAGAGTGTTTGGCGTGTTCGAACGGTCTGATCGACCAAAAATCCAGTGAAAGTGATGAAGGCCGAGACAAGAAAAGCCGAGCTAATAGAATGATATGAAACCGGTAATGGAAGAGTGCAAGCCCGATGGAGATATCCATGTGTGTCGTTGCAGATACCTAGAGGCTAATGGTGGAGACCCTCCGGTTATGGTGATGGTTGAAGCTGATCGGTAACGATGTCCACTGGCAGTGAAAGGAGAACCAACTTAGTCGTTACCTAAAGAGAGATATGATCAGTACCATCCACCGTCCCCTTTCTGTCCTCCCTGCTTCACACGGTAGACACCGTTGCTAGGTCTCGAGAACCCAGCACCAGTGACTCCCTTGGAGGCAGAGCGCAGCCTAACGTCGAAGACTATAGTATTAGTCAGAATTCGGTCTTCTAATCCTCCATGCCCAGCGTGATTCATCGATCAAACGTCAAAGGCAAAGGAGGTGGATTCCCTACCCAGGAACCATGATTGGCAGAAACTCACATCCTGTCACTTCCTCCTACTGCACGGTTCGTATCAGGGGTGTCGACGCCCGGAGGACGCTCAATGACTTTACGTCTCTGGCTGGCAATGGCACCTGGTTTGCTAGCTGAGGATGTGTTCTGAGGGGGGTTAATGCCTGCAGTTGCGGCGTTCGTACCTCCGGCGTGACGACGAGCTGGCTTCTCTTCTTCTTCTTGCACAGCAGTCTGATTGTTGCTTGCCGCAATAGCTTGAGCATTCTTCTGATACTTGTAGACGGTCCAGTCAAAGACGTAATCATACTGGAATCCTTCACGGACAAACAGGTCACGGAAGATCTTGCGGAGGTAAGAGTAGTCCGGCTTGTCATCGAAACGGAGGGAACGAGTGTAGTTCAGGTAGATGGCAAACTCGTTGGGAAATCCACGGCAAAGAACCTCGGTTGGAGTCGTCATCTTCTTTTCCATGATGCGGTCATACTTCTGCTTCTTGGTGGCAGCCTTCAGTCCCTGCCAGGGCAGAGAGCCGCGGCAGAAGTAGAGCATGACATATCCAAGGGACTCCATGTCATCACGACGAGATTGTTCTGGGAAACTGTTAGCCCCGATTTCCTGAGTGTGGGATGCTACTCTACTTACCAACTCCTAGATGAGTGTTGATGGATGCATAACGGGCAGTCCCCGTCAAGTTCTTGTTCTCACGGTATGGAATGTGAAAGTGCGTCTTTGGGTCACGGTATTTCTTTGCCAATCCGAAGTCGATGACATTGACCTGATTTCCACGCTTCCCAATCCCCATCAAGAAGTTGTCCGGCTTGATATCACGATGGATGAAAGATTTGGCGTGAATGTATTCGATACGGGAAATGAGCTGATCGGCGAGTAGAAGGACCGTCTTGAGGGAGAATTTGCGGTTGCAAAAGTTGAAGAGATCCTCCAAGCTAGGTCCGAGAAGGTCAAGTACCATAGCATTGTAATCGCACTCGGTTCCGAACCAACGAACGAACGGGATCCCGACTCCTCCGGCCAAGGACTTGTAAACACGAGCTTCATATTCAAGTTGAGGATGCTTGGCCTTCACACTTTCCAACTTGATGGCAATTTCCTCTCCAGAAATGATGTTGGTGCCTAGGTGGGTCAGGTCAGTATCGACTCGGTACTACAGAAAAGGGCAGCCTGACCGAGATAAATATCACCGAAGCTTCCACTGCCAATCTTGCGGCCAATACGGTACTTGTTCCCCACGCGAAGATCCTAGAGACGCAGAAGTCAGTAACAGTCTCCAGTTTTGTCAGCTCATGAGGCAATATGGAAGTCCGCGAGGTGTTACATTTGCCTTTTGTGGGGCAACGGCTTGCAAGAATTGTTTGGGTAGAGCTGCAAGCCCAGAGACAGCGACATTGTAGACCATCTATCTCGAAGATATGCAAGGGATGATGAGGAAACCCAGACGAAGTAGCCTCGACCAGACAACACCCTCAATAACAGAAGAAGTATACACACCATTGTAGTCATCTTGATGTTGCGTGACTGGTACAGTCACTGGATCCGATATGGTCAGAATCGTCCTGGTGAAGGGCTAGATGTCCAGGTGACGGAGGGTTCTGAAAGGCCGGGTCTTCGGGTTGACGAATGATCGTGTGGGGAGAGGTGAGGTGTAGAAAAGGAAATTGCAAAAGTTCTTGGCCTAGGAAAGTGAGGTTGGTTAGTGATGGTGTTGAGATTTTGGTGCAGTCAGCACGGCGGTGAGAGGGTGGAACGCGCCAACGAGGGATGAGTGGAGGCGGAGAGCCGTGTGGAGCGTGATGGTAAGGTAAGAAGATTGCTTGTAGAGTAATGCAGGGGAAATGGATTTGAAAGGTGGATCACGCACCTTCAGGGTTTGATGTGACAGGGAAGAGGAGGAGGAGGAGGAGGTGAAGTTGAGGTCAAACGATCAAAGCCAAAGGCAGCCTTGTTGTGCTGTGCCGATCGGGGCTAGGCCACGCGTGTTATCCTTGACTGCACGAGGTGAAGAAGAGAAGAAGAGGGAAAAGTGAAGGAACGAGGTCCTGTATACAACAGGGGAATATGTCCCAAGAGCAGCTGAATGGCTTATGCAGTGGAGAAAGTGGGAGGTGTATAAAGTTAGCAAGTAGAGTGGTGTTGGTACTTAGTGTGCATTATGGAAGGTTCAAGGCCTTCTAAGCCGGAAGGAAAAGTGCGCTAACGCCGCTTGCGGAATCACTGAGGGGACACGAGGGACAAAACCCTCACCAAAGTAATAAACGGATAAATACATGAATTCTACGGTAGCCTGAAAACAATTTAATAGGTGACTGCAAAAATAGATTTTCCAGTTTCTCTCTTCTCCATCAAATGGCCAGTACTATTGTGTACCAGCTGGCTAATACTAGCCGTCGAGATGGGCTCGGCTTTACAAGGGCTGATTGCTACGTAAGATAGGTATGACGCCTCAAGAGCACAGGCGGCAAACACGTATCTTCCCCAGGCACTGCCCCCAGAAGAGCGTCCAACCATGCATCTTCTGCCATGTCGAGCTGTTGATACCATACCTTCTCCCGCAGTCCTGACGCGTTAGGGGAAGGTCCGTGCCGAATCAAATAGAGGCACATCAGCCAGCTGCATGCAACATTGCCCCTAGGGGATTTACCCCGACCTCGGTTATGGCTCGCTAGGCATTGACACGTAGATACTATCTCCCTCAACGAGGCTTTTATTGAGCAATGGTATCCTCTTCTCTGTGGCCTTGGGGTTTGTACTGGAATGTGGTGGCACAATGGTAACAATGGTAGCCTGTGTGCATAAGAAAACAATGGCCCAACAAAGATCAGTGATCGGATCCGTAAGCGCGGAGGAAGGCAAACTTCGGGGCTGAAGCACTGGTCGTCAGAATCAAAGTGTTGGAAGTTGAAGTGAAAACAAATGGCACAACGAGGCTCCGTGATCGGATTGGCGTGCTTGGAGAAAGGCGGAGTTCTCGGACGTTCTACTCATGATGCCAAGATGTGCTAAGCTGCGAGGCTACGGAGTGATGCATGCCCAAGTGCTAGCGAGGTCTGGGTAAATGCTGTCACTGACGGCCTTATTTTCACGCAAAACGCTCACGTCAAACATATCAAGTCGTCCCTCTCCTTGCATCTCTGCATCTCATAGAATTGTAGCCGTTGGTGAGCCCATCACTGGCCCCATGGGTCACCGTTTGCCAAACAACACGACCCCAGCATCAGCTTCTTGAATCTCTGCATTTGCTCCATCTTCCCTCGCAAGAGCTTTCAGCAAATCATCTAGATCCTTCACCTGTTCCTTGCCCTCTGTCGTAGCTGCCCATCCTAGTCTTCGATGGACGCGGACCTTTCTGACCCTGCCGAACCCACTGTCATAGGCAATAGCTGCCCAAACGTCGTAGGCCGTGAAAGTATCACAGTCCGCAGGATCAAAGCAATCGAGATCGAGTTGCCTCAGAGGGTATTGCTCACCCTTGTCGTTGTCTGAAAGCAAGAACGAGCGGCTGACAAAGTCGAGCGAGATTTTGAGGTAGAGAAGGTTCGGAACATGCTCCATGTAGCCACTAAGCGGCTTGTGGTCGTAGGTCAATGCTGGTATGGGGGCGACAATTTCAAGGTGATGTAATTGTGACCCTTTGCTTCTCAGTATGCTGCCAATGGAGACCATTGATAAATGGGGACAGTTCTCAATGCTGAGGCGGGAGAGGGACGGAGGTAGGGTGGTTAAAGACATCAATGGTTCGTCATGGATGCCTCCAGATATGTGAAGCTCGCGGAGTGTGGCTGGCCAGTTGCATATTAAGAGATCCCTAGCTGCGTCATGTGCCGATGATCGAGCTGTTAAATGTTGCGGAGTCAGCATGGCCAATGTAAAAATGACTTTCGAGCCTTGCAACATGTCCGCAGAACTGAAATTCCCAAGACGGGCCTCAAGACCTGAATTCCGGTCCGGAAGAGAAGATCTGGTCTCTGGAAATACGTACGCAGATGTAGGCTTTCCAGCTTCGAAAGCAGGCTGGTTGAGCGTAAGAGATCGGTGATTGATATAGATTCGCACACGAAGGAGAGGTCTAGGTGACGAAGGTTGGAGCATTTGGAGAGAGCTGCGAGGCAGTTTACCCTGCAGCAAATCAGCGAAAGGAAATAGACTCGCACAACAGGCCTTTCGCATTCGGACCAACAAGCGCCTCAGATGAAGTGCAACACATACGCAAATGATGCTTGCGGCGCCACAAACTCCTCTAACCTCGTCTTGACCCTCCCAAGCAGCCTAGCTGTCAGACTCTTACTCCCATTGTGTACCAGACTGCTCATATCCAACCTCCGCACTAGCTCTGCCAGCCCGTTGCGCCGTATATGGGCATTGACCGAAGGGCATATTGCTCGAACGAAGGCGTTGAAATTGTTTCCGGTAATCATCGGATTCTCATAGAGGTAGACTATTGAGGCGGAATACCATGATCGTGAGGTTAAGGAGCAGGCGTGGAGTGTTTTCTGGTTTCCGGCGAGGTAAAAGAAGATTTGCTGGAGCACCTCTTGGGGGAGTTGGTCTTTCATATCAAAAGTGTGAATGTTCCATAACCCTTCATGCACAGCGCTGTTGCAGGCAAGTCAAACAGCTACGGTTTGGAGGCTAACAAAAAACGCCAAGATATAAAGTGTTTATCGATAAGAGCCTTGGCATCCCTCCATGTTTTGAGACATTCCTCCGAGCTTCAGTTGAATTATTCTAGATTCCAAGTCTCGAGATGAGCAGTGCAGGCCTCAATGGCAAAATTCTGCCTAGGCCGGAGGCCTGCCACCATTACCTCTTGTCTTTGTCCCTCTCCAAACCTACTACGCCTCCGATATCTCAAGCAATTCCCTCGCTTCTTACAGACATCAATGGCAAATGATCAGCCCAAAATCCCCAGTTTTGCATTCGCATTTGAGTATAGAATCCCTCGAACCAGACTGTTGGGGACTGCTTACATCTTTGCAGCATCGACGGTGTCCTCCTACGCTCCTCTCAACCCCTCCCTCGCGCCCACCGCGCCCTCTCCTATCTCCAAACCCACCGCATCCCCTTTGTTCTCCTCACCAATGGCGGCGGCAAGTCAGAACAGGAGCGCGTGCAACAGATAAGCCAGCTCCTCGAAGTGCCCCTCGATACATCAATGTTCGTGCAGTCTCATACGCCTTTCGCGGAACTGGCGAATGGCCACGGCAAGGAGAACTTGAAGGATAAATGTATACTTGTTGTGGGAGGAGAGGGCGATAAATGTAGGAGAGTTGCTGAAGGGTGAGTACGTCAACCCCTCCATTCCCTTGCATTCTCAATTTTAATTGTCTCATAGATACGGCTTCAACAATGTTATCATCCCTTCCGACATCATTACCGCTTATCCCACCCTCTGGCCATTCGTCTCGCTCGACAGCCACAGACCTTTTGCGAGGCCATTGGCCCAGAGTGCCTACTCCAATCAGCAGTCTTCAGGCCATCCCACAGTGAAAGTCGACGCCGTAATGGTGTTCAACGACCCTCGCGACTGGGCTCTCGATATCCAGCTAGTCCTCGACCTCCTCTTATCCATAGGTGGCCACTTGGGCACTCTCTCGACCAAAAACGGTGATTCGAATTTACCAAATCGAGGCTACCAGCAAGATGGACAACCCGAGCTGTACTTCTCCAACCCGGATCTTTTTTGGGCAGCGGCATACCATCTCCCGCGTCTCGGCCAAGGCGGCTTCCAGGCTGCTCTGGAGGGCGTCTTCAACGCTGTTACCGGCGGCCCCGAGAACGGTGTGCAGTTGCACAAAAACTTATTCGGGAAGCCCACGCAAGGGACGTTCGAATTCGCGGAGAATAGACTCCGACAGCACAGGACTGCCTTACCAGGAGGCGATGCAGGCAAGTTGAGGAGCGTGTACATGGTGGGGGACAATCCCGAGAGCGACATCAGAGGAGCCAACGATTACAAAAGCCCCACGGGGAGCAAGTGGGACAGCATCCTCGTCCGCAGCGGCGTCTACCGGGGCGGAAAGCCCGCACACGAACCCAAAGTCATCGTGCAGGACGTGTGGGATGCGGTCCGCTATGGGCTGCGAAAGGAGGGTGTAGATACCGACGAAATGGGCTGATTGATTGGAAAGCGGTAAAATACTGTGTATCTCAATTCTTTTGGTGGAGATGGGGGAAGAGAGACTCCGACTGAATTGGCACTCAGGTTCGACGAGCATATATATCGCCTAAAAGAGACTGCCTATAAGGAGCAGAGCCATCTGTATCTACATACTCTGCCCAATATCATATATCCAAATGCCCCACAGAGGTGTCAAGCTACTTGAATCCGGAATCCGCATTTCTTGCGGCAAGATGGCAGACACAATCTGCTCGAGGGCGTCTCTGAAAAAGGGAAAACTACGCGTTATCATATCAGGTCATGCTCCCCATCGAAAGTCACTGCACAAGGGGCACAGGTGAATAATAATACAGGTTGAATTATCTACAAGAAGGGGACATCTTTCCGATGTTTTAGGAAGAGTGAAAAAAATCGCACGCTGAAGACGAAGGAAAGAGATATTAGATCGGCATTATGCCACGCCTTTCCCACCCGGCAAGGGATTTATGAGTATCGGTCTGTACAAGGAGGTCAGCGGGTATCCAGGATGTGACTATGGGTGGTTCAAAAAGAGAATCAGATTCATACCATAGAAACGTTTCGTAAAAGCTCTCCGCCATAGGAAAAAGAAAAGATTCGACATAACGGTATCGAGACCTTGAAAGTTGAGCTACATCTATCGTACTGTTTACGTCAGTATGTCTTGAATCGCTGGGAAAGACAGGGAACATACCATAAAAACGAACCACATTTCAATTCCTCCCCCAAGCACGACCTCCACTACCACCATGTCCACCGCTGTCACGTCCACTGACTTCACCACGAGCATGATCTCCGCGACGGCTAGCACTTCCTTGGGTCGGGTCCTCATACTCGCCTTGCTCGCGACGTGGATCTCTGCCAACCCTCGCTGGAGGGGCAGTAGCGAACCACTGGGGGTCGAAGAACGTGTGGTTGTTCTTGGCGTTATGGTCGATCGCGTAGGCTGGAGGAGGAGCGTAGTGGTTCATGTAGTCATATGGGCCATTCATGCCGGCCATGAGGTTGCTGTAGACTCCACCGAACATCGCTTCTATCGCTCGTGCGTCATCGTCAAGGAACTCGCGGGCTGAGCGCACCATTCCCTCTGTGTCATTGACTGAAGTAACGCCGGCAAGGGTGGAGAAGGGAGCTTGAGTTGCAGCTCGCGTCGGACCATGATTGCTAGGTGGCGTGGTGAATCCAGGTGGACGACCGTGACCAATAGGTCTTGGGGTCGCGGCTTGACGAGCTCGATCGCTGGGGTCGTCATCCTCGGAATTGTCTGCAAGTTGACTGACGGTACGAGGAGCTGCGTCTTCGAGAGGGAAACGCTCCGGATTCATTCTATTCATTGTCTGACGAGGAAGAATCGCCGCCGCGTATGAGAGATCGCGAGGATCAGTGCGGAACCATGTGGCTGCGTCTTCCAAGCGTTGCTGAGGATTTCGTTTGGGCGGGGCCCCTTTCGCGATCTCATTCATGAACGCGTTGCCAGCGCCAATGGCCGCAGCCGGGAGTCCCGCATTCTTGGTGTAGGCAGCGGCATCGTGGCCAAAACCGGGGGGAACCGCAGGAGCTCGATAGGGCTCACGAAGACCCGTAATCTCAGTATCTGCAGTGGCGCGCTCAGGGCTTTTGAGCATGTCACCCGCATAATATTGCAAGGGTAGATGGTCGCTCTCACCGAGCGCTGCTCTCCCTTGGCGACGACTTGTATCTGGTCTTGGCTTCATGAAAGCCGGATTCGTTGTGACTGGACGCTGTGTGGTAATGGACTCGTAGCTAGGAGCTTGAGCCCGAAGCGTAGATCCAGTGACAGTAGTATCTGTGACTGTAGACGAAGGCCTACTTGAAGGCTGGCGATCTCGGTGAGGATCATTCATCACAGTCCTAGCAGATCCTGTAGGCCCTTGGGAAGATGCAACGACCGTGTCGAGGTTTTGCCTCAACGCTTCTTGATTTCGTCTCATAGTCAGGCCTGAGCCGGTATAGGCGGCAGGATCTCGAATGGGGACTGCGTGAGATAATCTGCCAGAAGGCGGCTGGACACCGCCTTGTGTGGGACGACGGCGTTGGTCTTGAGCAATCTTGCCAGTGTAGTCTTCCAGCGACAAGCTTTCAAGTTTTGGTTCTTGTAGAAATTCCTTTTGCTGATCAATGGTGCCTCTCACAGCTGGCAGTCGTACGGACGCACGAGGTTTACTTACAAGTTGTTGTTCGAATGCTGCGCGCTGCTCATGCGGACCTGCTCCAGGGTTCTGGTCACGATTATTGACGAAAGCTTGTTGCTCGTAGGCCGACTGCTGGCCACGATAGGGGGACATTCCAGCATTCGGAGCATGTGTAACTTGCTGAGCGTTTGAGAGGAACGACGACGCACTAGGATCTGAGGCATAAGTAGTGAGTGTTGGCTGATGTCCGTAATCCGGCGATTGACCATAGACCGCTTGTTGTGCTGCATATTCGGCGTATTTAGATGGCTGATTACGCCCATAGTGCTGAATGTGTGTGGGTTGGTCCTGGAAAGGATCATCGAGGTATTCTTCGGATTGCTCTTGCTTAGCTAGTTCTAGAGCTCGGTATCGAGCTTCTTCTTGATCCATGTATCGCATCTTGCGTTGGCGCTGCACCATGTCTGGATCATCGTATTGAGTGTCCAGATTGATGTTTCCAGATGGGGACTCCCTCGTAATCTGACGAGCTGTAGACGGCGGTGGATCAGTTGGCATGTATGGGTTGGTGTAAGGGCGACCACTCTTTGTGGTGGTGACAATAGCATGAGGATTGTGAACATCCTGGCTCGCGTGTGAATTTCGTGAAGAGGACTGACGAGATGATTGCTGGCCAGAGTGGCCACCGCGAGTGGACTTGTTTGTTGGGGTCTGAGTGGCCATGTTGGCTTCGGGTAAATCAGGATCCCACTGATTAGTCTTAAGGTTGAAGGTGGCTGTCGGGAGGGTGTCTGAAAGTGGCAAAGATCGGGGCGCGGAGTAAGCTTTGGGCGATGCTGGACGATGAAGTTGACTGCTTGCTTGCGAGTTTTGTCTGTGCGCGGCAAGCGAACCGTTGGCCTTGCTCTCGATCTCACGGTACGGGTCTAGAATACGTTGCTGAAAATCTTGAGGTGTAAAAGGAAAAGCCGCTTGTCCGGAATTTTTCGACCTTCGTCTATCAGTTTTGATCAAGGCGGTTAAGCTCTTCGCAAACTGGCCGTACTGTTGAGAAGCATCTAAATGGCGAGCCGGTAGCGGGAAGGAAGGTTGAGTCTGTCCAGACACTTGTGAGCTTCGTCTGTCGGTGTTGACTGGGGTGTAGGAGTTATAATTCAAGCTATGATCTTGGAGCTGGAATGAATTATGAGCTTGTCTAGACGCTGGTAGTGAGCTTTGTCTATGTGGGTTGATCGTGGCGCTAAAATGTTGAGTCGAACCGTAATACTTGGGCGGAAATGAAGAATGGACTTGTCCAGAGGGTTGCGAGCTTAGCGTGTCTTGTTGGATCAAGGCGCTGAAGTCTTGACTTGAGCGGTGATCTTGTGCGGGCGGAAAAGAAGAGTTAGCTTGGCCAGACGCTTGAGAGCTCCGTCTGTCAGTGTAGCTGGAGCGGATGGGGCTCGGAAGTTTCGTGGCGTAATGAGATGGGCCAAGCTCGTCGCAGTGAGGTGGATCAGGCTCGTGGGAGCCACGTCTGTCAGGGCTTGGGTTGTCCAAGTGGTTGAGGATCCTGTCGTCAAGCTCGGCCTCGATATGATGAGGGCGTTCGGGAAGTTGAGAGGATGAAAGTGTGGTGGGTGATGGAGGATTGAAGAGTGGGTGAACGGATGAAGTTGACGCGGGTTCCGTCACTTTGTTTTCGCCTTCCTTTTCCTGGATTTCTTGGAGCTCGCTTAGCTTATGTGTCTCATACTTCTTGCCTCGACCACGCCGCGTGAATTTATACGTTCCAAGGCTGACAGCCCCTGACAGATCAGGAATTTCATCGTCAATGGACTGCATTTGGGCGGCTCGTCGTGCTCTGGCAGCGTTCAATTCGGCAGCGCGTGCTTTCTGATAGCAAGAAAGGAATCAGCGTTTCCTCTCCATGTCGGTATCCGAGCCCTTAAACATTTTGCAGTGGACCACTCTTTCAATATGCAACAAGACTGCAAATCTGAGACGGAATGGGAAATTTGGGCTCTGAAGACACATACCTGTGCAAACGACGCTCCGTCAGATGCGTTGGCTAGGTTAGCTTGCCAATTGTACGGGTTGGGGTGAGAAGACACGTTGGCTTCTGCTTCCTCTGAAAATGACGGCTTCTTAAAGGTGAACGGGTTGGTCCGTTGCATTCTTTGTTCTGGGGTCTCTTCCACAGGGGGCTTAGGAATGATCCGAATGTGTGAGAATGGGCCATTTCTTGCAGCCAAGTTCGAAAGGTCGGGGGCTGGTAGTGGGATACCGGAGGAAACACTGTTTGTAAGATTGGCGTCGCGTGAGTTGTGTTCTTGTGTTTCTCAAGAACGTCAGCAATCTCTTCTTTGGTCACGATGCACGCCTTGATGTCTCACTGATAATACCTTCGAGAAGGGCTCGAGACTCACGACGAGATCGTCTACCACCGTGGCCTTCTCCTAGCGGAGGAGGAGTCATAGGAGGTTCTTTCTCCCGAGCAGCTAGCTTGTTAATCGGTCTTACTGAATGAAGAGCTTAAGCTCCAGTTCATTCCCGATCAACCGCCCAACTTCGTAGGCCTGGACCAACGAGGCAAGAGCTTGCAAAGTAGGGAAGGAGCGACGCAGATGTGCTAGGATGGTGTTCGATCCAACTGAATGAAGGAGATCGAGCCCGAGCTCACTCAGACCCAAGCCCTCAGCTCAGCCTGCGTGGAAGGAGGACGCTGGGACCGTCAAGAAAGGAACGAGCGATGCAAGAGCGATGGTGGACTTGATGCTATACAGCAGTAGGTACAAGCCAACGGCTTACAGCATGAGGAACAGGGCTGGAAGCATGGTTATTGGGTTGGGTGCTTGGTAGGGGGTCGGTGGGAAAGGTGAGCTCAGACACACTTTGAAAACAACAATTCCCTTTCGGTTAGTGGTGCCGTTCATCACAACTTTGCGTTGAGTGCGCCGAGGTCCGAAGTACTAGCGGATGATCAACACTGTACTGGGAGAGGAGGTTTATTAAGTCCGGGGAGGTGGAACTAGGCCTGGGGCTCTCACGACATGAGCCTGTCTTTGTCAGTCGCATCCACTACTACAAGCCATACTTGTTCAGTCACTGTGAGCATATTCATGGTGCCTGTCAGCTGCATGTGGATTCAGATTGACGTTCCAAGCTTCTCTGGAGGAGATTAGAAGGTTCCATGCATACGCTGAACAAACGAGCTTAAGAACAAGGGTATGCAGCATGGCAGTCCGCATCCTTCCAGAAGGGTATCAAAGAGAGCACTGGATATACCAATGGCTGCAGCCCCTGCAGTGGACGTCCAGCAAACTGTTTCCCACAGCATCTGGCCATCCTTCCTCACATCAGAATCACGAACCCGCGTGGCCAATCCCAGCCATAGGCTCATCGGTCCATCCTCCCTCAGCCAACAAGGGTGTCCAATTTTGAGATTGGCCCACAGATAGAATAGATCTCCTCTTTCGTTCCGTAGGCTCGTTCAGGCTTCAGAAGCTTGGCTACCGAAAAGGCATCAAAAATAAGCGGGGCGGTACGCTTGACGATGCAGAAAGTTTCGGTGCCATGACTCCAGCTATCCACACTTCAGCCGCATCCTACTGTCCCCTCATGATTCTTATGCTGATTGCATACCGACTAGTCGTTCGGGTTCGGAAGCCATGTCCCGCTTTCGCTCACACTTTTCCTTCAAGGCAGCAGCTTCTCTAGCACGTTCCAAGTGATCCCTACGCCTCTCCGGAGCTGAGAGCTAGCATTCCAGGCCAGCCAGCCTGGAGTTCCCAAAGCCTGCAGCAGTAGAGCGGAATCTCGTTGCGGTCCAGCTCCATCTCGAGTGTTGCGTTGCCGAGATAAATCTCTCTCCTCAACACATGCAACGCAGCCCCGACAAGCACAAAGAGCTTCTCGGCATGTCAGGGTACTTGGCAAACAAGTCTTGTATTGTTGTCTCGGGGTTCCACAGAAGGAGAAGTGCGGTCAAGTCGGAGAGCAAGAAGCCTCGGCAGAATGCTCGCTGTTTCGTTGCGGTCACGGATTCTTGACTGACGGAGTCAATCTACTGTATAGAGAATGTCGTTAGCAATGATCATCGAGGCGGAAGATAGGCGCACTCTTCGTTCTCCAGTGTCAAACCTTAGTGTGACTGCTGATTTGAACCATCTCTTCTCCGCCTATGGTGCGCTGACAGCACCTTTTAAGAAGCATGAAAAGGGCCCAGGCCAGCAAAATGGGAATCCTTGAACAACGACTCGCCTAAATCATATGAGTCAGACAACAGATGATGATTGGGGAAGCATGAATGAAGGGAGTGGAAGAATCTGCAATGGAATGAGGTCGGAGATGGCGAGTCAAGCATTGCGCCAAGCCGGATGAGCCCGAATCATGAATCTACTGGCCACGGCGACAGCATATTAATATTTTCGATGATTGATGGACGTGTCATGGACAACGTCCAAGGTTCAAGAGCACGACAGAGGATAGCTGGCCAGGAGAGTACTCTCTTGTTTTGGTCTTGATTTACAATTATGAGACGATCAGAGGGAAGAGAATGGCTTCCGAACCTGGTATTCACAACTGCACAAGGATTTTGCCTGATGCAATCATGCATTTTGACAGTATTTCTCTTCTAACATGACATAAAGAGCATGATTTCTGCTATGAAATTAATCTCGAAGCCTCAAAGCCAAAGATAGCCCTCAGAAAGGCTTCGGGGTTCTGTACTGTAGATCTGTGGCTGTGCATGTACGCCTCTACGCCACACCTTTCGCACGTGAGAGTGACATCAGTGCAATGGTGGGGCGAGATTGCCCCGCTCATGCCAAGTTGGAAACAGAAAGCTGAGCTTGTAATTTATTGTTCTAACTTGATTCCTTGATAGTAGACCGGTAGTGTATGCATGTGACGTCTGAATCGAATGAGAAAAGGTCCCTGCCAACTTTTCACTTTTCACTACCTTGTACCAGCTCAGGGAGTACCTACCTTAGACCTCAATTCGTAGTTCGTACGGCAAGCAAAGCGCAGATCTTTATTTACCCACCTATTTCTACAACTACTTAAGACCCCGCCTTCATCCTGCTTCACCAAATCTTTTTCATTTCAATAACTCTCACACCTCGAACCTCGTACTCAATCTATCACCTCTCAACCGACTCACACGTCCAACTTCACTTACAATTAACACTTCAATAAACACTTCACACCGCCAACATGTCTGGACTCATGCACAAGGTCAAGGATGCCCTTCAAGGCGGCCACAAAGATGGTGAGTTCCCTCTCTTCAAAGCGTCACCATCGGCTACTAATCTCATCACTCCAGAGAATGCAAAGCTCGAGCATGACGGGCTCCAGGGAGACCACGGCAGCCAGTCCGGCGTTCATGACACTCCCGTCTCAGATTCCGTTGCTCACGGTGACTCCATGTCGCCTACAAACCCTGGCGTCCTCAACTCCACCAAGCGTGGCATCCACGGTGACCGTGACACCGGCACATCTGGTACTGGCCTCTCGAACCAAGAACTCACTGGACAGACCGGGATCGAGGGTGAGTCCGGCTCTGTTGCCCACGGCAGTTCCATGTCTCCTACCAATCCTGGTGTCCTCCATTCCACTAAGCCTGGCATCCATGGAGCGAGAGATGCCGGGACTGGGAGTACAGGCCTTTCCAATTCTGAGCTAATGCAAGACTCAGGTGCAGGCTCTGGAATCGGCTCTGGTACTGGCTCAGGTTATGATAGCACTTCCCGGGATACTGGCCTCGGTAGCGGCAACAACGCTGGGCCTCAGTACACCGGGACAAGCGAGCGTGACACCGGCCTTGTTGGCTCTGGCGTCGACACTACGGGCCGTGGCACCACTATGGATGAGTCCTCAATGAACGCGGGATCCGGATCAAGCTACAACCCCAACGACCGTAGCAGCACTGGTCTCGACGGTCAGGATGTCTTGACCGGCTCCGGCTCAAACACCCGTGACACTGGTATTGTGGGAGGTACGGGCTCCGGCTACGACTCAAGCTCTCGCATGGACCGTGATAACACGGTTACTGGCTCCGGCCTCGGTGGTGACGAGGGCATGATTGCTGGGGGCTCAGTTCCTCAAACAGGCTCTGGATACGACACGAACACCGGCGGTGCTGACTTGACTAGCGGAGGAACGGGGTCCCGCTTGACTGGCAATGACTCCGGCTTGGGCTCTGGCTACGACTCAAACACTCGCGATACCGGTATCACCGGCGAAGGATTGTCTGGAACGGGCTCAGGCTTGGCAGGTGGTAGCTCCGGCTACGAATCTAACACTCGCGATACCGGTATCACCGGCGAGGGATTGTCTGGAGCGGGCTCAGGCTTGACAGGTGGTAGCTCCGGCTACGACTCCAACACTCGCGATACCGGTCTCACTGGTGAGGGGATTACCGGCACAGGCTCAGGAGCGACCGGTGGTGATTCCGGCTTCGGTTCCGGCACCGGCTCAAGCGGCCGCACGGGCCTCGTTGGTGAGGGCGAGCAATACGTCGAGGGTTCCGAGAAGCACCACCATGGAGACGGGCACCCAGAGGATATCGTTCACCCCGGTCACCACTACACCGAGACCGCCAACGCTCTCGACCCTCACTTGAACTAGGCCGGGGAAAGCGGTCTGATTGATACTCGCCATGTCAGCACATTTGCGGGTGCGAAGCCAGGATACTTGCTTGCTTGCTTGCTCGAGCTGGATATCGAAAAGGGATGGAAGGAGCTTGATAGAAAAGCACTCGCATTGCGGTATGCAATAGCCCGCCTGTAAATAGAAATGCGAAACGAGCATGAGCATATCAATGATTCCCCTCCTCGAAGAGTCTTACCGTCCCGATTGGATTGAACACTCTACATACTTCTGACCCGGTCTTGATGTAGCAAGTAGAGTCATGATCAACAATAGGCTTCTCCGGCTTTGCGATTTGCTTGATGTTGTTCATGTCATGACTGAACGAAGCTACTGCTAATATACTTGATGCACAGGGGGAAAAGGGAGTGTGAATCCATATATTCAAAGCCATAAAGACCTGCTTCTCTCCCCTTCTCTAGCCTGAGAACCGCAGACAAAAGCCAAAGCAAGCCATGCAATCCTTCCCAAGCAACCCAACCTCTTGTCATCCTGCCTGCTCCACACCTCGGCCGTCAACGGATCCCGTCAAGTTCGCGCACCGTTTGACACGTTACCCAATTCCGCCCCAGGCGCGGCGTCGTAGACGTCAGTGAGGTCCTCGGTCTCCTTCCGCGATACCTCTGCGGGTGAGAAGCCGGGCTCTTTCCGTCCGCCTTTCAACGCGGACATCCTCCGATGGCGCCCTTGTCCAGCCGTGTGGTTTCCCGGACTGGCCTTGACGCCGTCCGGGTCGTAGTGATCGGCTTCTGCGCCGGTTACGGTTCTGGCCGCGCCGTGAGTCTGTTGATCGCTTGGTTGCAGGTGGACGGTGGTTGGAGGCCGACTGCCGTGGATCTCCGGGTCGAAATGTTCCTTCTCGTGCTCGTCGAAATCGGCACCGGGATTCGCGGTTTCGTATTCGAGCATCTTCATGAATCGGTAGAAGCCCGAGGCTAGAATCGAGCCGAGGATGGGCCCGAGCCAGTAGATCTGAGTGTCCCGCGGGTCAGTGTCCGTTGTCAATTGCAGGGACAAGGGCGGCATACCCAATGATAGTGGTGAAACGTATGTAAGACCACCTCAGGGCCGAATGATCGAGCCGGGTTTACTGACCCGCCGGTGTAGAAGACACCTGAAGCAGTCAGCAGACACAAAGGTTGGGTCCATCATTGGGACCGGACCAGTAAGTTCAGCAATGAACAACGACAAGCCAATGCCAACGGGCGCTATGAAGGTTGCCTTGTGCTTCTCGGCCGCAAGCATGAAGATGGTGAAGACTAGTTGAGCGGTAAGGAACATCTCGATGAAGAGACCCTGGGTAATCGAAGTGCCTATCCTGAGCGCGGTCCGGACGTCCAGTGGTCCTGGAAATAGCACGCTGACGACCGCGGCCGCGGAAATGGCACCGAGGATCTGTGACACCGTGAGAAGCACGCCGCGTATATATGGCAATGCCCCTACGAGACACATTCCGAGTGTGACGGCAGGATTGAAGAGCCCTCCAGAGATGCGAAAGAAAACCCAGGCGTTGACGGCCAGAGAGAAGCCGAAGCACAAGCTGATGTACAGGAGTTGGGCTGGATTGGAAGCCTGAGCAATAGTAGTGGACGTCTGAGATTTCGTTTGGGTGTTTGCGACTTGGGTGCCGGAGAAAGCGAAGAAGAGGAATAAAAAGGTGCCGATGAACTCTCCGCACATGGCAACGAAATGAGAGCGAAAGTGTCTGGGTAGGTATCTCAGGATTGGAAGCCGATTGACGATTGTGGAGTCAGTCCCCTGCCTGTGTCGCTTCCTGGCCCTTCCCGGAAGCACGAAGCCTGCGGCTAGAGGTTCGTCAATGTTCATGATTGTAGGATGTAGGTTTGCGTAATGCGGTAGGGTGTAGGATCAATGAAGTTATCCAGGACACTGGAAGAAGAGACTGGGAAAGTTGATTGAGCTTCAAACATAAAGAAGCCGTTGGCAGGAGGCGATGAGACACACTGCCCGTAGAAAGGAAAGCGGTACCTGTCGCTCATGCCGCGCCTTCCTTATGCTCCAGCACAGTTGCTGGGCTGGTACACTGGCGCTCATATTCAACAAAATTCCATCTTCTACGAGCTACCGTTTAGTAGCAGCGAAGGGTGCGAAGACAATGAACAGCTCTTCGCAACGCTGCCTTCTGCTTTCTGACACATCGCACCGTTTTCATACTTGACCATTTGTATGGTGATAGAGTGATTAGCGCACGTCAGCGGTTGAAGTTTCTCAGCAACGGGTATTTGAGGGTTAGAGGTTAGATGTCTAAGGTAGCTACATCCATCCGAGTCAAGTCTCTTGTACTTGACAATTTTGTTGGTCACAGTACAGGATGCCCTAGGCTTCTGATCAAAGATGTTGGCAGAACATATTGTTTGTCTGGGACCTACTCGTAAAGCATGTTGCCCAAGGACCCTTGCTACTTGAATCATGCAGCTTTGCTATAAAGCAGACGCTAAGGTATGTAAACAAAGGACATCTTTGACCATGACGTGATTGATCCTAGATTTCTGAAAAAAGCTTAACCAGCTTGGACAAAAGCAATATTGGCTAGCCTCATTAGAATTAAGTACCCGAGCCGCCATCGTAGCCTTGGCACTGGCAGCATGATCACACTCACTCCGACATCACAGTCTCCTAAGCACTCCTGACCATTATCACTGAAAATTCTACTGCATGAAAAGGCCTGCTTTACGTAAAATATCCCTATCTCTATGGACGCTATATTCCGCCATCCTTGTTTGGCGGCAGTCTGAGCGTTTATCCAACTTTTGAGTAGGCACGCCTTCGCTCCAAGATGCCTCCCCACCATCTGATTTTGGTATTCTTGTGCATTGTCGGCCTACCGACTGTCTTGACATTCTTCTCCCTCCTACATTCACATCCAAGGGGCCAGATAGCAACAGAATCAACCTCCGACACGCCAAAAAGTGGCCTCCGCGCTCTGTTCTCCTTCCACACGCCGTCTACTCTCTTCCCGCCTTCAGCCATCATCAGCCTCACAGACGACAACTCAACATTCTTCCTTGCTCGACCTGCCGATTTTGGCCCTTCTCTTTCAGGAAATGGCCTGAGTGGGCAGCTTTGGATCGGCAGCGGTTTTGGTGATGATAATTTAGGAAGAGGAGGCCCTGGCGCAGGCGCAGAAGGCGAGCTTGGGTGCAGCGATGTACCCGGCTGGGAAGGCGGCATTCAGCAGCATCGTAGAGATACCAGCGCCGACCAGACCTCTGTTGCTCACAGTGGCGACGAGGCCAATGCTGCTCAGCAGAAGAATGGCGGGGGTTCACCACTCGAAGTAGTATCCGACGATGCCGAAGAGCCTTCTGAGGCTGACGGCACTGACGACCACCTACACCACCCTCTCCCTTCATCACCCGTCTCGAAGCCTTCGGGGCCCGGACGACCTGCTCAGCACCAGGCGGCTCAAGTGGGGCAACCTTCTACACATGCAGATATACAGTCGCTACAGGAAAGTGCTGAGATATCCGGAAAGATTGTATTGCTGAGTCGCGGCGGCTGTGGTTTTTTGGAAAAAGTCAAATGGGCACAGCGGCGAGGTGGCAGCGCTCTCATTGTGGGTGACCATACCCGCGGTGGCGCACTTGTCACAATGTACGCACGAGGAGACACATCCAATGTCACGATTCCGTCGTTGTTCACGTCACATACTACTGCTCACCTGCTTTCATCCCTCATTCCTCCTGAGAGCCCTGTGGATGAGTCTGAATCAGAGGACACAATAACTGGACCAGGATCCAGTGCTGGTGCTAAGAAGGAGGGTTCAAAGACTAGAGTTGACGTTGACGGACCTACCTTCACACCTGCGTCCGGTCCAAAATCGACCTCAACGCCGTCGAGATCTTCTAAGGGAAAGAATGCGAAGTCTTCGGGAAAAAACGGAAAATTGCAGCCAAAGGAAAAGCCGAGCTGGCTAAGATCCCTCGCGTCTAGTCTGGGAATGGGTAGGGAGAATTATGCTCCTGGAACGCTGGAGGACAGTCGGCGACCGCCAAGCAGTGGCCGCCTCGACTGGTTTAGTGAGAAACTGACTGACGAATCACCCAAAGAAAAAGCGACGAACTCAAAAGAAAAGAATGGGAAAGCTAAAGGCCAAAGCAAAAGCGAGCCATTCGGAAAAGTCACCAAAGATACCAAGAAGTATTCTTCACATCCCGGTTCTAGCGATGATTTTGTTATTGGCGTTCAGGATTGGCGCGATCCAGATCTTGTAGCAGCGAAGCCTTCCGCCAAAACGAAGAGCACCACGACCACTCGAGCTTCTGCAGCAACTCCCGTGCCATCGAAAGGATCTGGAAAGGCGGGTGAATCAGCCGATGAGAAGCCAGGAAGCGCCCTAACAGGTGGCAGCATCACGCCAGGTAGTGGACAATACAACAAGCCTGGAAACAAGGCCGGAACTAGTGATCAATCCCAGAAAGCTGCAGCGAAAGACGAGAGCAAGAAAATTGCCACCGGTTTGAAGAACCAAGCTGCAGCACAGGAAGCCAGTGTCAGCCAGCTTGAAGCCGAGTCGGATGAGGAACATGAAGGACTGTGGGTCACGCTAACCCCAACAACTATGTCTACAAGCCCTTTTTTCGATACGCTGCTCGTTCTAGTAGTAAGCCCACTAGTCACTTTGACAGTTGTCTACGCTCTCCTGCTATTGCGTTCAAGGATCCGTCGACGGAGATGGCGAGCGCCGAAATCTGTGGTCGATCGTCTTCCAATACGGACATACCATACCATGTCCTGTACTTCTACCACTTCGTCGACGCGGTTTGCTTCGCCTCAAAGCTCTTCGCCGACCTCTCCTCTCCTCCAGACGTGTCCTCGGACTATCACAGCTCGTTCGAGACCACGTTCAGCGACGGCATCGGGTATCGGGGACGCTGTTTCTGCGTCTCTGGAACGAGCTAGTGCAAAGGTATCCACAGCGCAGCTGGAGAAAGGTGCCAGCCTGATTAAGCCTCACA